CGTGCCTTCAAAAGAAAAGGTACCAATGGCGCATTGGCCATTGGCTTGGAAGCTAAATGGGTGCGCGATTGGACTGCCAATGTTCAACAGTTTCTCGAAGGTGTAATTACTAGTTGTGGAGTAGCAGACTGGAAGCTGAAGATGACTTACGCGGTCAGCTTGACCGCTCGTTTGTTCTTCGAGCAACTACTTGACCATGACCAGTATCTCGGATGGTTCCTCACATCGCTGGAGGCAGCGCCACTTAACACCTTACCAGTCTGGCTTCTTATGTTAGGAATCTACTGGAGCAACATCTTGCGGTATAGAAAGCGGGGACGGCGGCTCGCTGAACTCCTACTTGACAAACTGCAACTAGCTATCAAGTCGGACTCAGCCAAGTCCCTTCGCCCGTTGACAGACCGATTGTCACTGCACATTAGAAAACTAACACTTGAGCATACTTCATCCGTGGTGCTTCCAGACTCATGGGAAAAGTACAAAGATCTTCTATCGTCCTGTTTGAACTTAAAGGACAATGTGCACAGAGCGGTCTTCCAAAACTTGGCTGAGCGAAATGCGCGTGTGCAGCGGCCTCGAAAATGTCAAGAGACAACGCAGCAACCGCCACAGCAACGCCTCATCCAGCTGTTCGACTCGATACGCTCTTCGCACGACATCGCATCTGTTTCCGCTGCATCTTTGGGTGCGATAGATGACAAGGCTGCTCTGGTTTTCAAACTGCTCGAGTGGGCAGCCACCCCGTTTCGCTATGGTGTATCTCGTGTTTATACCGCCGCCCGCCTCTTACGGAAATGGAAGATCGCTGGAGTTGATGTGGATACCTGCATCATTTCCTTCCTTGCCGAGAGTCAGATGCGTGACCAATCGAACATGGACAACATCTATCACATCATCTCGGAACTCGTCAGATCCCAGACATTTTCAGTTGGAAAGTACCTTCAATGGCTGATGGCAAAAGGGGTTGCAGATTGTTGCCAAAATGCTGAGCATAAGCGCCTTTCGGGGGACCTTGTACTTCTCATGCAGCTCCCTGCGAGCCGTCTTCCAGAGCATGTACGCAACCTCCGCAACACTCTGCTGCATCGCGCGGGAGTTGAAGTTTCGAAAGAGGCTTCTACCATCGCAATGCTCAAGGCATCAATAGCTGAACGCCTTCCAAAGATCTTTGGCCCTGTCGCGAGAAGTGCAATATCCTGTGACCTTTTGCCGTCAGATCTGACATGGGCCGTGAAATCTGAGATTGGCCAGTGGATTCGGCGTGGAGTTACTGAATGTGGACGGGGTCCTCCTAGCAAATTTCAGGGTCTCCATCGAGCCCCTGAGGCAGAGCACTTCGCACTCACCCCTGGCGAATTCTATTCAATAAGGGATATTTTGGAAAGTTTCGGCGATCTGTCAATTCTTGCGGACGTACTCAAGCAGGCCACCATCTGCAATGACGGAATTGTTTTGGCATCTGCTGCCGACACAGTCAACTATCATTTTCGTTCTTTCTGTGTTATCGGTGCTACAACGGATCTTTTCAAGAGACTGGTGGAGTCATACGCCCGCCTCAAAAGGCTTGGTTCGACCTCCTTGGACTTGATATTCTCATTGATAGATCTTGGGCTTCGGCTACCCGGAGAGTTTAACACAGTCGCTCTTCTTCGTCAAGACCTCTGCCGGATTGAAAGCAAATCATCTATGGCAGCACCATCACCACTGTCTGATCACATACCTGCTACTTTCAATGAAGCCGATCCGCGCTTTCTGGAGAAGCTAGACCAGCTCCTCTTGTCCGGAAGTGGTATAGACGAGTCCACGTTGGATACGATTTTCAACCTTCTTATCAATCAAATAGAATCCAGCGGTGGTCATGCTAAGCTCTCGGTGAATGAAACATGCAGGTATTTAGCGTACCTCAGACCTTTTCATCCCAAGCGTTTCGACCTCATGTTAGTCCGCTGGATTTGTGGCCTTCTCAAATCCACTACCCGAGCGATACTGTCCCAAATCCTACCACCTTTGATCGGCGTTGGATGCGTTACCATCCAAGCCTTCGTGTTCCTCGTGCGAAGGCTTCTCAAGTCCGAGAAGGTTTCGTCTTTGATATCCAACCCAAGTGACTTACGCATAGATCTTCTTCAGCTTCTTGTACCGCCACCGGCAGGTCAGAGTCGATATTTCGACATGGTCACATATCGCTTTCATCTGTCACAGAAAGAATTTTTGTTCAAGCACCCTGAGGAGGCTTTCAACATTATTCGAGATGCTATCGCCTTGATTGATTCGCAAAGCCAAGAAGGAACCTATCGTCAGAGACGAGTGGATCTAGGTCACAGTGCGATGGTACTCCTTCAGATTTTGCTCACCAAGAATCCAGAAAGTGCCGTTCAGCATTGCACAGAAAAACTTATTGGTCAGCATCCGTCCTCAGTCACAGCTTTGACAAGAGCGCTCGATTCCCTTCTGGGATTTGATACCAAAGCAGGTGAGCGTTCATTCACATCGAACACTTGTTTCCTATCTTCATACCCATTGACACCTGGTTCAGCGCCCCCGGATATATCAGTTGCTGAAAAGGTCATCGAACTGACCAATGATTTCTCCCTCCCGTTCTGTCAGTTGAAACTTCAGCTTCTGTTCAACGCGGAAACCGGGGGCGATGTGAGAAACGAGATAGTGGATGTGATGTTCAAAGCTGCCGTTGTAGACTCTCGCTCAAGACGATCCAACTGGGTGGGACTGGTTCGTCTGATGAGTCATGATGCAGTCCGACAGGTAAGGTGCCATGATGAAGGTTTAATAAGATTTCCACGCTGATTTGTCTAGATCCGAGAACGAGCTGAGAAAAGTTTCTTCGCTATACCCCTGTTCGAAGAGTCGCCCGATGGCTGTTCATCCTTTGCGGCAGACAACAGCAGCTCACTAGAAACGGCGAAGCTGTACCTGACGATCATCGAGAAGCTGGCGTATAGCATTCCCGATGCGGGCCCACAAGCTGTTGCCCCTGTCCTCACCGAGAAGATGGATTTATTGCTTCAAAGACTTATCAACATGCAAACGAACTACAGTGGTACTACTGAGCTTAGTCATGGAGTTGACGCAGAACAAATGATCCGATCTCGCGCGCAGTTCGAGAGATCCCTTGCGTTCTGGTTCTCTGCGTTGCTCAGGATGATTGTCCTTCATCGGACTGCTTTCAGTGTGCCATCAGCCGCACTCAGACCCACCGCATTGCCAGAGCAAACGCGCTTGCTGATATCGATATTCTGCATCACTCTCGCACGTCTTCCAGATAACGTGCTGCGACTCTTTCCGACGGCCGACTACTTTCCCCACTCGATGAGAGCAGGAGGTTGTCATCCTTGTCCGGGTATTCTGCTGCAGACGCATGCCCTGGATGTTGCGGCATCCCTGATTGATACATTTCCGGACGAAGCCCGTCATCAATGCGCTCGTTATCTAAGGGAGAAATGCCCTCCTTTCGCTCGGGTTCAAAATGACTCGCGCTTCCTCTACCTTCTTGGTCCCCTTGGCGATAGCCCGTCCTCGAACCTCACACTTCCTGTATCGCTTCCATCACCTGCTGCTTCTGGCTCCACTCCCGCCCCTACGCCTTCGGGTAATCTCACAGGAGGACCCTCCCACTCTCAACAACCTGCATTGGTATCCTCAGGTGTGCCGACTGGATTGCCAGATGGCTTGAACTGCGGTGCTAGCCACCTTTGTCTTCAATACCGTGGCCGGGTCATTGGAGCTTACCCTGTACGTCCCTGGGAACTCCTCGAAGATGCTGCTCCCATCGTTGGTGCCAACGACACTGCAGTCAGCCTAGGATACTTTGATGCCCGGCGTGTCAGGGTTTAGCACATCAAGAGGAACTAACAGCTCTAGTTGACTACTCATCTATCTACTTTCTGGCCCCTGTACATATCTTCTTTCTGCTTGGTCTTTTTGGTGTTATCTTCATTTGATTCTTTCGACTTCCCAGAGTTTGATACCATATCCATTCGCATCTCTTCCTCCCTCTTCCTCTCATTTCTTGATATATGCCTCTGAAAGAATTCCAGGCCGAAGTCTTTCACCTCGTCGATCGTTATTGTCCACAGCCGGTTACGCTCACTCATTCCATCATCGTGTCTTGTTGCATTTGCGTCATTCTCATGCCACTTGTGCATTTTCTGGGATCGACTGTCTTCAGGGAAGTGTTTGGAATCTGCGAATCTCAGTGCGCAAACATATGCTTACTGACTTAGCATTTGGCTTCTATTGCATGGGTTGAGAGCAATCATGGCTACGTGTATAGAGCCTGGCGTTCATCTCGGATGGGTAGTTTATCGCACTCGGCGGGCAGCATACACATATGTTACTTCATGGCATGGTATCTATTGGCCTCAATTTACGGGATATGATCATGATCTTGTTTTTCCTTTCGGTTTCTTGTATTTTTGACATGGTCTAGACTAAAAGGTTGACTCATTCTTGACGGAAATGTCTTGATCATTATGATATCACGAATACATACGCCCCAGGCAGCCCCTGGTTCCTAGGGCAGCGATTTGTACAGTTTGCGACAAGATGCAGTGGGCTCTCTGAATGGCGTCAAGAGACATTCTAAGTGAAAAGGCTGAAACCAGTTGTATTGGTCGTTATCCCAAATCTAACATACATGCCTTGTACTATCATATCATTCTGCCAGATATATAGTCAGAATCGACATTCTCCCATTTTCTCCATCCATCAGGATTATCACAAGAGTATGAAGCGTAGTTCCAGGTATCATCCAACATATAGTGCACATAGGCCATGTCCATCTTGTGAACAAAGTCTAACTCCAAAACGCCGTATAACAAAAAGGTCTTGAACTAAACTGATGCTTGAGTGCCAGTAACCAGCTTGACTGCCGGTTCCCACCAACCCACCCCCGGCACCCTCCTCCAGGTAAAACTGGAATGCGGATTGCCTCCCCACATCAGAGTGGGAAGGACGTATTGCATGCCAGGCGAGGTATGCATTTAGTTGGAGTCGGAGGGGGACGTGGACTCGACGGTGTTTGAATCCAAGTGCGAGTGTGACGGCTCCTCCGTCTTGTCGTTGTCGTTGTCGTTGTCTCCGTTGCCGAAGAACAGTTCGACCTCGGTTTTCCGAGGCGGCAAATCGGCGCTCGAACTGCAAGAGCGCAACCGTAGGCGTGCGGGTGAGCCGGTGCTCACTGAAACACTGCGGCTTCCAGATCTTCGCCCTCGTCCGGACTCTCCTACGCACTCTGGGACGACTTCCAGGTAGGACGTAAAAGTCGTGGTGGAGGTGGATGTCGACTCTATGAGAGAATCGAAGTCGGCGGTGCTGGAGGCGGACACCGTGTTGGACGAGTCTTTGGAGTGCGAGCGGGAGTTCGAGGTCGATTCGTCTTCGTCTTCGTCCGCGCAAACGGCGAAGGAGTCGTTGTGTGTTGTCGAGTCGTCATCGGTAGTCGGAGCAGGTGTGAATTCGGTGTCGTTGGATGAAGACCCGGTCCAGTCTTCCCTGTGGCACTTATCTCGTCGTTCTGCCTCCAATTCTGTGACCACGTCGAGAACCAAGTCCTCGCTCAAGCCGAAGCGTGGGAGCTTGTTGATTTCTCGGGCGTAATCTTCGACTGTCTTGCCGTTGCCAGTCTTTGGCTGAAATTCGGCGGGGAGAGGCACCCGCGAAGGACCCTGGTCCCGCATGGCATTGCGAACTTCTTTGCTGCGCGAGCGTCCGGAGGAAGGGCTGTGGCCGGAGGATTGCGGCAGTACCCAGGAAAGCGCGGGACTACCTTCAATGTCTAACGGCTGGAGGTAGTAGACCGGATGCCTCTCAAAGGCCTGTGGATATTGACTCAGAACATGCACATAGCCTTGAGGCCTGGGTGAGTGGTGTACTGACCTTGATGGCGTCTTTGAAGTCGTCGATGTAGGCGAATGTCACTGTGAAGACGGTCGTGAGATATCCCAGATTAAGGAATATGACTTCCTCAAGAGCGCATGATTCAAAATGACCTCGGCCAGTGAGTGCCATGTTAAAGTCATGCGGAGACACTGGGAAGCCAGACCGGTGTCCAAGGCGCGCGGTTCCTGTTATCAGCGTCAGTAGATGTTCGACAACAGAACGAGGCGAGAAAAATGGAACATACTCTTTCCCTTGATCTTTTCGACTCTCAGCCAGCGGTCGTGAAGCTTGATGAGTCCGTTCTCTGCCAGTGCAGCTACGGCATGTTCGACTTTCTGTGAGAAATTACGTTAATCTAACGAACCACACATCAGGACAACGACGAGGGACAGAGAGAGCCCACCTCGAACTGCACAAAGGCCGTTGGGATTTTCCGTTTGTCGCGCTTGACCTTGACATGGCATGGACCGAACCGAGAGAACTTTTGCTGGACATCCCGTACCAGGTCTTTGTCCTCGAGGGTAATTTTCAAACTAATGTATGTCAGAATCTCTAGTTTCTCAAGAAGAGAACATCTCGCTACTCACTTTCCGACGAAAATACAGGCGTCCGGGGGAAACAGCCCCTGAGCGTTCTCGGCCGTGATTGCTGTGTACTGCCTGTCCAGGCGAGGAGGAAGAGCGTGCTGCGGCCCGTTTGGGTTCGAAAGAAGGCCAAGGATAGCCATGTCGAATGTGATGAAAAAAAGAGCGAGGTTTTAACGAGCGAACGAGTTTGTGAGCTTGAGGGCTGTATAATAAACGAGTTGTAGATCAGTCGAGTACTTGTCGAAGGCTTGTGGAATACTTGTCGAACGATGGGAAGAAGTGAAAGAAGTCAGAACAGGGGGACTAATAGCCCACTGCTGGCTACCACTCTTCCTACTTTCCTGGCGGTACCAAAAATGATGTCGGAGCATAGTATGGGTCTCTTGTCTCTGTGAGCTGGTCTAGCTCTTGGACGGAGCACTCCGCGAGAAATCATGACGCCAACTGGAGATCGAAACCCGGAGCGCTGCTAAGCTGAATTCCCGTGCGAGTAATTTATAGCATTTGTGAGTCAAAGAGAGCAAAAAGACGGCGAAAGATTGTATTGATGTTTTCCATGTATAGATCTCGAGTTGGACCAGGAATGGAAATGCCGCGTACGAGACTCTAGTTCAGGATGCAAACAATGCATTTTCACGGGTTCTGCTACCCTTTTCTTCGCCTGCAAGAGTTCATATTGTGAGCAGGCGGAAATAGTGCACTGTTCGACGGGTTGGCCATTGCAGGTTCTGAGGAGCTCGTCCTCATTGCTCTATTTGTTGACGGCTTCAAGCCAAAGCGCGCAGCCATTATTGGCTTGATTTCGAAGGCCTTTTCGGTTCCTGAATTTACATGACCGTAAATTTCACCCGGGTAGTAAGCTTCCCGAGTTTCCCTTCTGTTGACAGTGACTCGTCCTCCACATCCCATGGATCTCCAGGAAAATTTTCACTGACAAGGGTCACAAGGCAGGACAAAAATGATCAGATGCAGGTATTTTCCAGGCCAGAACGTTTCAAAAATAGACATATGACAAAAAATGCTGTCATAACGAGTGGTGGAAGCCAGAAGGTGGTTTGTAAGGCTACTAATGCGTAGTGGGACAGAAAAAAAGGTGTGTATAGATAGATGTGATGTTTGATGGAAGTGGGCAGATGAGGCTAAAGGAATGATTATCGATCTGATCTTATCTTCGGCCGATCAATCAACAATTTGACGAATGACAGTCATTAGCTTGATCAATACTACGGAGGACGGAGTAGCCTAGTATGCAGCTTGGCGACATCATCTCATTAGTTAATCCTGGTCTACTGAACAGCTTCTCCCAACATTCAGCATCAAATAACCAATCTTTCACATCGCTTGTTATTCCGGTCATATATTCCCTGCTTACGGGATAGAGTGCAGTAGAACATGTTTCCCACAGCTAGGTGTTTGTCCGCCAAACCCGCAGGATTTATCAAGCGCAGCGCTGAGGAGCTGAGCCGTCTATCGAGGATTGGTGGGTCGTCATCGCTTCGTTTCTGCGCTCAATTATCGAATGCGCATTCAATATCAACAGCCCACTAAATATCATTGTGTTGTATAGCCTGGAACTCCGAAGGTCTCCATACTCCTACTAAGCCCTACACCCTCCTCGACTTTGAAGATGAATCCACCGTCGCCGGGTGCAAGACCATGGCCGACCGTGCCGTTGGTGGATTCAGCACTGCCAGTCTTGACTATGTCCCAGCGGACCCTTCGACGAACACACCTGCTCATGCGAGGTTTCATGGGAGCATTTCAACGAAGCTACCTAACAATTGGCGGGTAGAGAGGACTGGTACGTTGGATTGTTCTCATTGACATAGCTTGCTATAATCAGAGAAACTGACGACCATCGAAAACCGATAGGATATGCCGCCTTTCGCAATAAGGACCGAGGCTTCTGGCTCTTCGGTCGACTATACTGGGATGTCGACCCGTACTCGTATCTGGCCCTTCGAGTGAAGTCCGACGGTCGGCGATACACCGTGAATATTCAGACAGACTCGATCGTCGAGACGGATATCCACCAGCATAGATTATATACTCGTCACCACCGCGTGCAAAATCAGACCTCCCGTGACGACCTCCCCTCATATTCGTCGGAAGCGGCCGAGTCACCAGAGCTCGCAGAAACCCTCTTCCCGCGCGGAATTCCTCCTTCGCTCTCCGACGTCCCTCCCGAGTCTACAATCATGTCTTCTTCCGCAACAACATCCGGCGGCACAGGCTGGGAGACCATTCTCCTACCATTTCACTCCTTTGTCCGTACGAACCACGGCCTTGTGGTCGAACCGCAAACCTCTCTTATCCGCCAGCGAGTGAAGAGTATCGGTATCGGTCTTACAGACCGGGTCGAGGGTCCTTACGACTTGCGGATCCATCGTATCTGGGCTACCAACGGGATCAGCGAAGCAGAGTTCGAGGATGAGAAGCGGATCTGTGGTGCAGATGCGCTGCCTATTGATGAGGGCGTCAGAACTGGCTGGAGGGGCGACTCTCCTTCCGGCCATCCTGAGGACAAGGGAAGTCAACCGGGCGAAGCAGGAAAGCCGAAGGGATTAAAGGGGCTGCGCTCGGAGTGGGAACAATGATCTACTGTATATCAAAATTTGATGTATTTGTCCTACACTAATTGTACAATAACTTATTCTTTCATCGACACTACCGATAACTGAAAGAATAGATCTTTGAAGTTGATGTGATCCAGATTCATTTGACCTGAAGTTGCGATTTGATGTCGTTGTTCGTGGGTGCGTTAGTGTAATCTAGTTACCCCCAGTGATCCTCTCCCAAGCCTCCTTGTACTTCTCCGCGGTCTTCTGTACGACCTCTTCCGTCATCCGGACACCCTCCTTGCCTTTCAATCCCTCCTTGACGAGCCAATCCCGGAGGAATTGCTTGTCAAAGCTCTGCTGGCCGCGGCCAACTTCGTAGTCATCCTTGGGCCAGAAGCGAGACGAGTCGGGTGTCAGGACCTCGTCAGCCAAAACAACCTCATTGGTTTCCTCGTCGACACCGAACTCGAACTTTGTGTCCGCGATGATGACCCCGCGCGACAGAGCGTAGGCGTGCGCGGCCTTGTACAGCTGTAAAGCGAGGGAAGAAACGGTCGAGGCATGCTCACCAAGAATGGCAGCGGCTGTACATCGGGATGCTGTTAGCTTTGGGCCAACTCTGCAACTTGATAGACACTCCCGAAGCGAGGAGGACCATGCATACCTTGATCGGGGTGGATATTCTCGTCATGCTCGCCTTGCTCGGCCTTGGTGCTGGGAGTGTAGATCGGGCCATCGGGGAAGGCTTCGCTCTCCTTCAGACCAGGAGCGACCTTGATTCCGTGCACGGTACCCGACTTCTTGTACTCATTCCAAGCGGATCCTGTGATGTAACCCCGGACGATGGCTTCAATGGGAAGGATTCTGAGCTTGCGCACTTGCATGCTTCTGTTCTGAAGCACTGGCCGAAGTGAAGGGGGAATCTGGGGCGGGAGGTCGAGCGTGATGAAATGCGTGCGCAGAGAGGGGATAGCATCGGTCAGGATCTTGAACCATGCTTTTGTGCATAATGTGAGAAGAACTCCCTTGTTCGGGATACCCTGAAGACACAACTGTTAGCAGATTCAATGTGGAGTACCATTGACACATCCAAGACGAAGAATCGTACATTCTCCATGATCACATCGTATGCGGAGATGCGATCAGTCGCAATGAAGAGAAGAGTCTTGTCGTCGACTTCGTACAGATCGCGGACTTTGCCCCGGGCAATCAGGGGCAGCACACCCTGGAGATCTGTGTTTGTAAGTGCCTCGGCCATGACTGTAATTGCACGAATGGAGAGTTGCAGTTAGTGACAATCTCAAAATGTGACTCAAGAGCAAAGTCATGTCCCGATAAACGATAAGTTTTTTGGCGGGGTATACGATCAATCAATTTATGCCTCAGGCACTACTAACTGGATGCCTTGCAAAATCCCTTTACAACGAAGCTGGATCTATTGAACCAGCAAAGCACATTCCATAGAAGTTGCTTTGAACATAAAACTGATCAAATCTTGTGTGTTCGATATCATTTGAACCCCGTGGTCCTCCAAGATAAAGCTCATTGTTTGAACTCAGACGCGGTGTGTTTGTATACAACGGACGCGCTGATGGTTTCATCGCGCAGCGAAGTTCCAGCATAGTCCGTCTATTATTGGACGAAACTCCTCTCTGGCAAAGGATGTCGACGTTGCAAAAGAGGAATTAGATAAGGGAAGAAGAACAAGGGCAGCAAGATGAGTCGCTATCTGACCCCCTCGAAGATCGCTCTTCTGTGTCTCATCTCCATTTACACCGATGGAGTCGTTCCCAACTCCTCCGCAATTCATGTTCTTTCCTTTCTCATGTCATGTCTCAGTCCTTTGGAATCAGATGCATCTTTATCTCTAAACAGAGGCGATAGCAACTATACTGTCGCCATTGATGACCTGGAGGACGCCCTTTCGTCCAAAGCTTCCTCGATCCCTGGCCGTTCGATATGGGATTTGTTTCTCAAGAAGATCTGGTCCATTGATTCTTGTGACGCTTTGGAAGTATTTTTCACTGATATCAGCGCTATTCTTGTCAAGACTCGAGAAGAACAGATCCGCGACAGGGATAATGGTCTGGCGCCCGAGACCGGTCGTATGCGCCTCTCGAGATGCTCACCACTCGGTGCGTTCGTGAGAAGAGCCCAGCTCGAGTTTACTAGGCTTCAGTTCCATGACTCTGTCAAGCTTTGGAAGGGCTTCGTGCATTACCGTCTCCCCACGTACCGTGTGTGGTCAAAGAAGAATCCATCCGCTGAACGGGACCCCGTGGACATCAATTTACTAGAGCTCAATTTGGACTCAACTAGTCACCTCGCTCAAGTGGCTTATGGAAACATCGAAATCCAAGAGGAGGATGGAACCTACGTCAGCACTAAGGATGTCGAACGACTGTTGGAGTTTCAGATTGGCGAGCTACAGAGTACACCGACTTTCCCTTGAACATGAATATTCATGATAGGCACTTGCTAACGGAGTGCAGGGCTAGGAGGAAGAGTCCCAGACGGCATGAAAGTGCAGCTCGAACGTATCATGGCGTCTGGCGTCACACTACCCAACCTGACTTACTACCTAAGGTGAAATTGAGTTCGCGCCCAGAAACCCGCCATCGCTGACGATCTGTAGATTCCTCGACGCATGGAGAGCCGGAGACTACCCCTCGTCCTTCGACAACCTTCACAGATATTTCGACTATACAATGCATAGCCGTGACCGGAGCTCATATCAATATGCGCTGCTCAACCTCGCGATCCTTCAGGCTGATTTCGGATGCTATGGAGAAGCTGTTTCTGCGATGCAAGAGGCTGTCTCGATTGCGCGAGAGTCCCATGATATGAACTGTCTAAATTTCTGTATGAGCTGGCTGTATCACTTTGGCAAAGCCTTCCCCGAGCAGATGAAAGACGTTCAGAATACGGGAATGCTCGGAAACGAGAAGGAAGGTCTTGCTTTCCTGAAGGCCAAAGCGAAGGAGACTGAGATGTGGAGTCTGCTGAGCACTACATTGCTGAGTGAAGCCAAACTCGAGCTGCAAAACGTGAGCGTTCCTGCTTCACCGTTGTTCTTGACTACAGTCCTGACAGTACAAGGGGGAGAGTCTTGCATCTACCATTGAAAACATCGTTCGGGCATCCCATCTCAATGTTACAAAAAATTTGGTGACATCGATGGGCCCACAGCTTCTACTACAGACTGCGCTCTATGCCAGAATTGGTACCAGACCTACGCATGTGGATTTTTCCGGGTCCAGGCTCTAACCTCTGCAGGTGTTACCCATCTATCGTGGTTGAGTAGCGAAATATTTCGCGAATGCTACGCAAACAAGTCGCCATTCGAGGACTATCTGAAGAGTACATTCCGAAGCTGTCAACTGGTATGCCAATTGTTCTCCAACTTTCTGATATCTGCCTTCTGACATTCTCTCCAAAGTTGGCTCAACAGGGTCGCTATGGCGGTATCTCTGCTCATATAAAACAGATTACACCAGAAAAGCTACGGTCTCTCAGAGCGAACCAACAATGGACATTCTTCTCTGGTATACTGCAACTAAGGCGGCATATCTGTCGGTATGTTCTCTCCTTGCTCATTGAAGATGTCGGTTTCTAACAGCGAGCTAGGGATGATACAGTAGCAGCAGACTACCTTCTCTCCCAGCTTCAAGCGATCCAGCTCCCTGACAACGACGCCTCTCTTCTCCTATCTTTCCTTTCAATCGAACACAGAATCCGACAAGGCGACTATGGCCGGGCCTTGGAAATCGCCGAGCAGACGGCTCAATCCATGCACCAAGATAACTTCGACATCCATTCTCAGGTGAAGCTGCTTTGCTTCAAAGCGCGCATCTTCGAAAAAACGGGCCATCCACAACGAGGCTTCTCTCTAGCGATGCGAGCCGCCAGTATCGCGCACCGCTCAAGGCTTTTTCCAGGTCTCTGGGAGGCAATCTGCGTGCTGGGCGGAGTCCTGCTGAGTCTACGAGAATTTGAAGCCGTGAATGAGATGATTGAGAGCATCATGCCTCAGGTCCTCGAGGCCGACGACTGTGATCTAGCTGCGCGGGCGTACTCGCTTCTCGTGGACGCAAATATGGGCATGGCTGGTAAGTTGTGGAGTCAAGGACAGGACACGCCCGCTAAAAAGGAACACATGAACCGTGCCCTTGGCTACCTCGACTGCGCCTACGACCAATATGAAGAAATCGAAGACGTCAAGGGACAATGTGAGATGATGGCCAAGAAAGCCACGGTGATGCACCTCACAGGTGACCTGGTCCTTGCGAATGACTACGCGGCTAAGTACCTGGATCTGCAGAAATCGAGTGAGAAGGGGATATAGCATGCATTGCCAGTATATAGTATCACATTTGCGTTATAACGAAGAGTTATGGGGAAATCGTGAGACTAGACAACTCCTTTCCTAGACCGGACTGAAATGCTGCGCGGCAAGAGCACGTCTGCGGATGAGGGTTATGGATAGAGCGCCGCAGAAAAACACACCGAGGCCTTTACCTATAGGAACGAAGGTCATTCTACTCGATTTCCGAGAAGCTTAGGACGAGACTGAGGAACTTGTGTGTAACACAAGGAAATCAATCAGCATTGTCTTGTAACTCCTAGTCATTTCACCCAAAAAGCCCCAGTGCACACTCTCACAACGACTTCCGCCCCGATTTTGTGCAGAAAATATACATGCTTTCAATTCCTCTCGCCGTGAAACCGAGATCGACCATTGGAAGCTGTTGTCCTTATTCACCATAAGGAATTTAGGTAGCCTTGTCCTTGTGGTGGTAGTTGACATTGTTGTTCCAGCTACATCACAGTCAGCAAATGAACCATGACCATGAAAGGAGAAAGAGCATAAATTCGAATATAGAACGAAATGGCGCTCCAAAACGGCTTATTAATGGATTGGAGACTTACAAGATGGTCTAGAGAAAACCACCGGTTAGCAAATGATTCAATCAAGAGATCTGATTAGATGTCACTAACCTTGTCCCCATCGCCGAAGGGGAAGTTCTTGACACGGATGTTCTGGTAGGGGTACTCGATACGCTCCTCAAGAGGAGGCATGTGCTCCCAGTGCTCCCAGTGCTCGTTCCAGAGGTTGTAGGCGTTAAGACCGCCGAGGATCAGGCAGGGGATGACGGCACTAGGCATTGGTGAGTAAAGAGTCGATGGGCTTGCGGAAAAAGACGTTAATTGCGTCAGGCAACACATACTAGATGGAGAGCTTGCGCCAAAGGTCTGGCAGACAATTGAGTAGTTAGTATCATGCATATTATGTCCGTATCATCATCCAAAAAAATTCCCCGGGTTCAATTGGAGTATACGAACCGCTGGTGGCAGCAGCGTGGTGCTTGACAGCAGCTCTCTCGCGGTTGAACTCGTTGTCGACCATCCAAGGAAGCTTGTTGTCGGTGCTGTTGAGGCGGCGCTGGAAAGCAGCGCGAGCAGGAGCGCTACGCAGCTGCTGAGCAGCGCGGAGGATGTTGCGTTGAGGGAACATGGTGCTGGGGGGGCAGTCGAACGGCTGTTGCGTCTTTCTTCTGCTTTGGCAGATAGTGGGATTATACGGACGTCGGGCGTTCCGGCTTAACGAAGCAAAGCCGGTTTAGCGTCCCCGTGATTCGTCTGCGGGCAGCGGCTGATGCCTTAGTCATCAATCAGGCCATCATCGCGTGATGTCACGGCGCCTTCACGTCACGTGCTATCCCGGGATCGTATAGCTGCAGCTACAGCTGTACGATGTACGGAGCACCACGAATTGATCTTATTGCCGGAGATGAAGTAAACCTGTCTGCTTTAGATATTCTCCGAGCTCTGGCTGACTGTGGTATGTACGCTTGGAACACACTTCACAGCGACCGCGATGGGATTTCGCATAACAACATGGAATGGTAAGCTTGATTGATATTGGAAACCAGTCCCGCTGCTGGATACTCAGGCTGAAGGTTGATCTGTCTAACAGTGAACGGGATACGGTATGCATTGTAGACAGTCTCTGTATTAAATTTTGTGGTGCTGAGATCTGGCAGGAATCCATTCTCGTATGAACCATGGAGAGGCAACCGAACCTTCGAGGTAGATACATCCAAGGTCCTTCTTTGTCTGAAAACAAGAGGCTCATGATAGAATAGTCAATGTTTGATATTCTCGAGGCAGATATCGTCGTTTTTCAGGAGACCAAGATTCAACGAAAAGATCTCCGCGATGACATGGTGCTAGTACCTGGCTGGGACTGCTACTTCAGTTTACCGAAAGCCAAGAAAGGTGCGCTCCGTATGGTATCAGCATGTTTTTCAGTTCTAACAACTTTCAGGATACTCCGGAGTTGTGATATACACTCGGAATGCGACATGCTGTCCCATCCGCGCAGAGGAGGGTCTTGCGGGAGTTCTCTGCCCGCCCAATTCGTCGGTGTCATTTCGAGATCTGCCTGAAGACCAACAAATAGGAGGCTACCCAACCATTGAACAACTGTCAGAGCTAGAAATTGATGCAGCTACTCTGGACTCGGAAGGTCGTTGCGTCGTTCTCGAGTTTCCTGCATTTGTTCTGCTTGGAATTTATTCACCAGCCAACCGCGACGAAACACGAGACAGTTTTCGCCATAGCTTTATTGACTTGATGGATGCTCGCATCCGGAATCTGGTTGCGATGGGCAAAAGAGTCTTTGTCACAGGGGACCTTAATATTGCGAAAGGGGAAATTGATGCAGCTCATGCTGCCGAGGCCATCAAGAAGGGAACAACAACAGAGGACCAGTTTATATCCACCCCAGCACGGCGCGTGTTCAATCAACTGCTTTCTGATGGCAGAGTTCTTGGCCAGCGCGATGAAGGGAGGGAAAGTCCTGTTTTATTTGATATTTGTAGGTCGTTTCATCCCGATCGGAAGGGAATGTACACTTGTTGGGAGCAAAGAATCAACGCTCGACCCGGCAATTATGGCGCGAGGATAGACTACGTCCTGTGTAGCCTGGATATGCAAGATTGGTTCTGCGATTCGAATATTCAAGAGGGCCTCATGGTAAGCTCCAAGGTTGCTATGGCTTAGTTGTAGATTGATTCTCCAGCTGACAATATGCAATTTGGAACAGGGATCCGATCATTGCCCGGTTTATGCGGTCTTTAAGGACGTCGTACGCCTCGGCGAAGAAGAGGTCAACATTCGTGACATAATGAACCCTCCTGGGATGTTTAAAGATGGCGAGCGTCAGCAGGAATACTCTACTAAATATCTTCTGCCTACGTCGGGACGCTTGATACCAGAATTCGACAAGCGGAGGAGCATCAAGGACATGTTCTCGCGTAAACCATCGGCCAACGTACAGACACCAACGGCGAACGTCCCGACGTTGAGACATTTTGCCTCTACTCAGGAAAGAGGAACACCAACCGCCATTTCGGAGGGTGCTGCCAGCATGGTAGCTGTCAGCCAGTCTGTAGCAGTTGCTGACAGCACTCAAACGATAGAAGGCGTTCGTAAGAGGTCTCAGAAAAATGAGACTGGTTCCCCTGTCTCAGTCAAGCGTTCGAAATCCGGTTCAGCCCAATCATCAACACCTTCCACTGCTGGGCAGAGGACTCTGAAAGGGTTCTTTAAACCTAAAAGTGATGCAGCCGGCCAAGTGACCATAGCCCGGGATTCTGCAACAGTGTCTACTGTACCAACGAAACAACCAGCCGCGTCCCCTACAAAATCTACCCCAGTTACGGGACCTACGGCATCGGAAGCAATCCGGACAGCTCCCGCTGGTGAAGCATCTCCGGGAGACCAGCCAAATTCTGCGACTCCTACAACTCCCGCTTCGTCCCAGAACGATGATACTGTTATCGATCCCATTGCCAGCAAGGAGGATTGGTCAAAGCTCTTCACTAAAAGGCCCGTTCCCAAGTGCGAAGGTCACCAGGAACCATGTATCAGTCTGACGACTAAGAAGCCCGGCATCAACTGCGGAAGATCGTTCTGGATCTGTTCGAGACCCCTTGGGCCCAGCGGAAACAAGGAAAAGGGGACGCAGTGGCGATGTCCTACATTTATATGGGCCAGCGATTGGAACCCTTCCGCTCCGTAGATTTTCTGTCCGGGGCAACTTTCTTTTTGTGATAGTGTAACGATACCCAGTTTCGTACTTAGAAGGCTAGGAATAGTATGAGATATTATGGTTTCAATGGTAAGACATTTCGTAAAGTGAGACTCGTCGAGGTATATCTGACTATAAACAAAAGTAACTATGGGATGAAAATGGTGGTTAGCGAGCGGAGAGAAGGACTTGGCCCGATTGAAGGATACTTATCATAACTCTCTCTCTAAGCAAACGCGTAGCAGTCGCTTTTAGTCAGGCATAGAAGCAAAGGTACCTCATGGCCCCTGAAGACTGCATGTTCCGGTGTCCATGGAAACGAGCATGCCGGAACCGGATATGACAGGTGCACGGCTCTCAAGCGGTTGCGGCATGCAAGGGCCTGCCAGGCTCCACGGACCACCATGCAGGATGTATTGGAATAATTAGACAGGCTGCAGAAGCTGTCGAGTAACCTTGAAGAGCAAGGGGGGCAGCGCTCGGGACGCAGACACGTTTAACTTACTCTCGACCTCGAGGTTTAGCTGGTCAACTGAGGACGGAGAAGAAGAGAGTGAACACTTGAGATAACACATATTGATCAAGCCCGTTCATTGTATTTGTCTGTCTGCTATGTCCTAGCTAAGTGCCTATCTAGAGGTCTGATATTTTCGGAGTAATTACACGGATTCATCTGATATCCCCCTGAAAACAATTCTCCGGAGTCGTCAGAGATCCTCCCATCGCCCAGGATAAAAGTGAAGAAAACAAACTATCCGCGCCGGTATGGTACAGTGTCAAAGGCAATGTTGCAACGAAGCCCTCAGCTAGAGGCGCGAATGTAGAAATTGTACACATGGTGCTTGCTCAAGTAACAACAACGGAAGGGGCAAAAAGACAAGCAGGGAAGAAGCGTATGTTCCAGTCGACCTTAGAAGCAATCAGTGATGAAGTCAGAGAATTCAAAGTTCTCTCCAACAGGACCCTCGGCCAGGCTGAGGTGCTGGTAGAGGGCACCCTTGTTGTAATCGTTCTGCATCTGCATGAGATCGAAACCATTTGGTTCAAACTGGAACTGCTGATCCTCCGGTATGCCGTTAGGACTCATGATGACATCCATACATCCATACCTGGAACGCCTTCGAAAGCATTACTAATTATAAACTCACTCACTGTTATTTCAGTGAGCGTGGCTGGAGTGGAGACTGGAGGCGTAACCTTCGTCGAAGCTGAGGCAACAAACATAGCAACAGATTTGGTGCTCTCGGGAAACTGACGCATGGAGCACGACGCTCTTACTGGAAAGGCTGGGAAGAGCGATATCGAAGGTCGCTATAATTCTCTGCTTGCATGTTTTTAAGCTCTTCTGCCAGGTTTGTGCATTCGCCTCGTCGTCCTTTCGTTCTGCTTCCCAGTGTCTTCCAGGTATCATTGCCAACCTCCTTCATGAGCCCTGAGCAGAATTCACAGATACAAGCTGCGGCTTTTTCCGGTAACTCCAACCACCTGAGGTATTTTCTGGAGAGACTGAATGCTGGTGCATCTCCAGCACAAGTGATATGGTGGGACTGGACACACTGACTTCATTCCGACAACAGCAACACCTCGAGTCCATCGCCTCCGGCATAACATTTGTATGTCTTCGCACGTAGAATATTGTAAATTATTATAGAGCATAATACTCCTCCAGAAGTACAAGATTAATAAGAATTATGTAGCGTAAGAAATAACAATGTGGAAGGTCTACTCAGTTGGAGAGGGCTAGAGAGGGAGGCGGGTGAATCGATTGTCGAGAGGTCTTAGTGAAGGATAGGACATTTCTTTGTTTACATCCTGCCACAAATTCAGCCTGCGACATTGTACCCAGCCTCAATTTTTATCGAGGACAAACACTGAAAGAGACTTAACCTTTCTCTTCCCCTTTCTTCTTCTTCTTCCCTTCCAAACCCTTTCCATCCCAACAACCTGTTGGATCTTCAAAGACTCCTTCTGCGTCTACACTTTCCTTTCGTCTGTTCATCTTCAGCTACTCATTCAAGAGATTCTACACAGTCTAATCTCGAGAGAAAGACGATCAGTCTTCTGTTCGAAATGGACGCCGCAATTTCTCCCCTCGAGCGTGCTTTCAACACCTTTTTGATGACCATGCCAGCCGAGCAGCTGGAGGAGCTTCTGCAGTACCTCCAAGACACTAAAGCTCAGGAAAACAATGCCCTGCAGCTTGCAGATGCAACTCCTGCCGCTGCTGCAAACTACGCTTTGGACAATCATCATGGTGCTGCCGTTCCTGTTGCCGCAACTCCTCGTCCTCTGGTTTCCCGTGCCAAACGCACCCGGGAAGGAAAGAAAAGACCTCTTAACAGCTTCATCGCTTTCAGAAGTGAGTCCAACTTTACCATCAAGTATAGATACACAGACTAAGAAAGAACAGGCTTCTACTCGGTCATTTTTCCGGACCTCACCCAAAAGGCCAAGTCGGGCATTCTTCGCTTCTTGTGGCAGAATGACCCTTTCAAGGCCAAATGGGCAATCCTCGCGAAGGCGTACTCCATCATCCGCGATGACCATGGAACTGAGGGTTCTTTGGATCGGTTTCTGGAGCTTACTACCAAGTTCATCGGCATCATTGAACCCACTCGCTACCTCGACGCGATGGGCTGGCAGTTGAACTTCGATGACCAGGGGCAATACACTATGGCTAAGGTCAAAATCATAACTATCCCTGAAGCCGATGTTGCTACCAATTACTCGGTTGACGATGTCGTGAAACACTGCTACGAGACAGGCTATGTGTCTGAGAAACCACGCAAGCACACCGCAGGTAACCGCAACAACACTTCCACCATGGCCTTTGCTGCTCAGCCAACTTTCGTTGTCAAAGCGGAGAACGGCATTCAGATCACCGGCGACGATGCTACTGTGACTGACGATGCCTTCGCAACACCTGAAATGGAGACTCCACCTCCCGAAGAGACAAACGCCACTCAAACCCCTGATCCCATCGAAGCAGAACCAGTGGTCGACGACTACGCCTTGGACTTTGTGAATGTACCTGGCATGCCTGATGGTCAGCAGCTCGAACTGGCACTCTTCCAAGGCAATGACTTCGATCTCGACAACATGGAACACCCATTTCTCAACGAGATCAACGCCTTGCCCCTTTTCGATCCAGCAATCATAAATCCCATGATGATGGACTATGATCCGTTGGTCGAGCCTCCTTTCGGTGTCTTTGACATTGATCAATACATCAACGTCTGACCATGCACTGTGGTTGCGCCACTTCCCTCTTGAGTGTCTCGAGTCTACTTCTGCAGATCATCTCCGCGCAGAAGGGGTGCTCAACGATGTCTCAAGCTCTTTCCCATGTACACTATCTGATCTTGTTTCCGAATGTACTCTATTCATTTTCCATCGGCATTTCGAAGCAAATCGCGGTTACGAAGCGAGCGTGGTTCTTCTTTGTGACGACATCAGCTTTGAGATGCATAACGACTTTCAATGAATTGGGGCTTTCATGATTCTACATGAAACATCAAGTGGCCTAGCTTATGGATGTCTGGTGCAGTTTCCGTTTTTTTATCTGATTTCGAAGGGCTCCGCAGGGCTTGCGGTTTACAACGGTGTCATGGTCTTTATTCCTTTTCTTGTTTCCTTGAGCACAAATACACTTCTCATCGAAGTTTTTCTTATCGGTGGCTCAATCAATTAGCATAGCTTAGTTAGTTCAAAACATAAAAAAGAATAAGGATAATCGTTTCAAGATACTTTATCGCTCTTGTAAGCAGGATAGATCGCTCTCTTCAAGTCACTTTGAATTTCTATCGATCCACGATGTGACCTTCCTCCTGGTATAAGCTCTGCAGAATGATAGAGGACGGGCTCGCTTCTATTTCGGAGTGAGGTGATGATCCAGAGTACAGTCTTTTATCAGAGGCTAAATTTTTGTCTCTGTTACTTGGGATGAACACATGATCAAGGTCACAGTTCCGGCGCCGACAAGCTGCCTGGCTGAGATCGATCCGAAGAGCGCTGGGCTATCGCAGATCACTCTTCTGTCAATGTTACAAAGACTTTAAAATTACCCTTCCTCCGATATGGATCATTCATTCTATCACCTTACACTTTCCAAGCTTGGTCCAATTTAACAACATGACCTTCTTGATTTAGTAAGTGCATCACTTCAGACAGAAAGCCCCAAAGGACAATCACGAAAGGTACAGCCCACTGGCCGCTGGCCGTCCTTGCCACCACATGTCCGGCTATGGGTAAAGCACGTCTGTTGACAACTAAACACAGTTACTACCCCTTCGTGGCCAATACCATGATACCTAATGGCCACCACGAGCCAGGAATCAACATGCTTCACAACATCGACGCAATGACTCAAGCAAAAACCGAGTCGAGAACAGTGTACGCCACCAACATTACCCTCTCACAGTTCTTATCACCCGTATCACACTCTAACCACGCAAAACACACCAGGCCAACCAATCAAGTCTCTTGCCCAAACCAGAAGCAAGAAGCAAGAAAACAGCCCAGCACAAGACGGCCTCTCGGTCCATCCAACCGGCCCCCCGGTTCTCTCCATCTCCGACACTTCCAGCCCAACCGACGGACCCAGAACACCAGTGTACAGTGGCTCAAGATAGTCTAAAAGAGCCAGTCAGTATTCGCCGGCCCCCAGATCGCCGGAATAGGAAACGCAGGGTCCAGACATGCTCAGTTGCTGACCGTCACACTAGACTACTGCAGGGATACAACAAGAACCAACAGCCAAAGCCAGAGCCAGAGCGAGAACAATCTGCGCCCGAGTCCTCCGAGCCTACGTTCCTACAGACCGTTCTCGTCGACGTCACTGGGAGCGGGGGAGGGGTTCCCTTGTTCCCCGAACTCCTACACGCATGCATGCCATGAACAAAGAACTCGCAATTAGCCCTAAACTCCTGGCGTCATGATAAGATTTACGGTGGGCCCGCGCCAAGACGACCCGGCACCTGTCACCAAGGAACGTGAGTGCCAGATCGAATGAGAATGCGGCGGCGAATGAGAGGACAAAGAAACCGATGGGGGCGCAAGGAGGTCTGTGTGGAGTGCCGCCAGGACAAAGTGTAGGATCGTGGACTGTGGCGTGTGATCGAAGCACTCCATGGACGCAAGGGCTGTCACCTGGCTGTCATTCGACCGCTCAAGATTGCGGGTACATGAAGATCATCTGCAACTGGAATTTTTGGAGTCTTGGCCGAAGCTCGGATACATCAATTGACTTTGATTTTGGCTTTTTGTCGGACAAAGGATGAAAGTATGTGTATCTTTCGCGGTGTACTTGTAGCTGCGGAGGGTCTAGCCTGTATGTACTCCGTACAATGCAAAAGCTCGTTTAATGTGCGAAGCACCGATACACATATAACACAAAATATATTGCTCCCTAGTCTTGGTATATTGAAAATATGAAGAAGAGATCGCACAACGAAAGGAATTTGGTCAGACTTGAGGAAAGGAACACAGAGCGATCGGGGGATTAGAGACACAAGAGAGAGGAAGGGAAAGAAGGATATGACGGAACTTGTCCATCTGAAGATATCAAGAGCCATGCAAGCAATAGAATACAACTACATTGCCACCATGACTTTACCACCCAAGGTTGTTTCTACCACGAGCACCACGTGGACGGAAGGCGATCCCGCAAAACCCAAGGATATAGACGCCTTGTGGACTACTAACTCTCACCAATGGTATCCAGCGAATGAACCTTAATCCTCCTGGTAAGAAATCTTGCGCATCTCTCCAAGGCGTTGACGTGCCCGGGCCAGACTGTTCTCGAGCTGAAGGATTTCGACCTATACGCGAGAAAACAACCAGTCAGCATCTTTGAAAGACACACGTGCGAAAAGCAATGTGACAAGTTGGAAAAAAGACAAGCATACCTGTTGCTCCATTTCTCGCACCTTGAACTCGTGCGAGCTGAGCTTCGCGTAGTCGACGGTCTCCCCTTCATCCCGATTGCGTTCGGAAATGATGTCTTGCACTTGTCGCACCAGAGCGCGGCAAGCGGCACCGACCGCCTTGCTAGCGGCCTCGAGGCGATCCTGCGTCTTGCTCATGAAAGTGGCCTTGACTCGGCTAGCAGCCACCAGCTGAGCGGTGCTGGCGGCCACATCGTTACTGGCCACGATCAACTGCTCAGGAGAGTTGCGACCGGAGATAACACCGTCTGCAGTCTCAATCAGAGTATTGGTCGAGGTAGCAACAGCCTTGGCGGCCGAGATCAGACCCTCCGTCCACCGGTTGTTCTTCTTGTAAAAAGCCGTTCTCGACGAGCTGCCGCGGCCCTCACGTACAATTTCCTGTTGCGATGCCGTCGCAGCCTTGATCAGTTCTGCAATCGCGTTGGTAACGGCAATAGCAGCCTCCAAGATCACATCGTTGATGCGAAGCTCGTATGTCGAATAGCCTTCGCGAGGCTTCGTCTTAAGCTTGGCCAAACGTGCTGCTGCTGCCTCGATAGCATCGGCAGCCTTGCTGAGCTCTTTGTCCACCAGATCGCCCAGATCGCCGCTGGTACTAATCTTGGCGCTTTTGGGAGCAAACGCATCGACCAGTTTCGACAACGACTGCAGGTCTTTCTGGACCTCCAAGTTGTTATTGATCACAACGTCGGTCTTCTGCAAAGCCTCTAGACCCTCAAGACGGAAGGACTGCAGTCCGCGGAAGAAGCGCACGGTCGCCTGGGCGGACTTCCGCGCGGCATTGAGCAGCTGATCGGCGCTCTTGTCATCGTTGGCGAAACGAGTAAGACCCTTAGTGTTGCTCAACACATCAGCAATGGAACCAGAGAAGATAGACACAGTGCGGATAATCTCAGCGTGGGGACTGTTGGGGCCGTCGGCGATGAAGTTGTTGAAAGCGGTCGAGAACTCGGTTGCGGACGCAGAGGCCTTCTCGATCTGAGAGAGTACGTAGGGAGGAGAAGCGTTCTGGTTACCAGCCTGCATGGTGGAGTCCAGTTCGTACAAGGCATCATCAACACGCTGCACACCGGTTTGGAGGACCGAATCGATAATGTCATTGATCTTGGTCACAGTGCCTTGCAGGACGGTGTCAATTTGAGAGTCCAATGCGTGGTCGACGTCACCCTGGCTCTGTATTGTTCTCTGGCATCAGTCACAGTTCACAAAATAGCAATGTATCCAGTAGAGAACACAAGAAATGCAGAAGTACCAGTTTTAGCTCCTCAAGCTCCATGAGCGCCTGTTCCATCCCCGACTTGTAAACCTCGATCTCTTCATCCTTCTCGCGGAGCGCAAGTTCATGGTCTCCTTGACGATCCATGTTCCGAGATGAAAATTCTTCCAAGGCGCGCGTTTTGTTCTATGCAATTGAGTCAGCCGAGTTATGAGATAGGAAATTTCCAAAGTCATGAAACTCACTCTGAGTGCCTCCTCGAGGTCCGCCATCTCACGGTTGTACTTCGACAACAAAGTCGAGATCTCAGTGCCCTTTGAGCGCTCGGCATTCTCAGCACGTTCAATAGCAAGCCGAAGCTCGCGCTTGAGCTTCTCCAGCTCCTCCTTATTGGTCCCCGTCAAGCGGTCCCTGTCATGTAGAGCACGATCCCTCTCCCTGATCATATCAGCCAGTTCAAGGTTCTTCGTCTTCAGCTCCCGCTCAAGCTTTTCGCGCCGCTCAATCGCCTCATGGGCTGACGCTGCCTTGAGTTTGAGGCTCTTGGTCGTCTGCAGAAGGTCCAGATGCTCCTGTCGAAGCTGGGAGTAGAGCTTAGCCAGAGCCTCGTACTTGGACCGCCAAGTATTGACTTGCTCCTGCAAAGCGCGAATCTGTTCGTCTTTTGAGGCGTTTTGCATGTTCAAGTTCGTGGTCAGCTGCGCCATCTGCTCCTCCAAATCCTTCACGCGGCGATCATATTGCTGCAGCATCAGCTGGTCACGCTCGTACTGCGCCCGGGCATTCAAGTTTTCCCGTTCAAGCTCAGCCAATCGACCCTGAGTCTGGGTCTGATACTGCTCACGCAAGAGTTGTTCCTGAGCCAGTCGCTGCTGCTCTGCCTGCAGACGCTGCTGTTCCTCAAAGTCACGTTGAGATTGCTGCTGCGCAAGAAGCTGCTGGCGCTGCTGATCTTCCCACTGTTGCTGAAGGCGTCGCTGCTCCGCTTCGAACTCCTCCTGTTGACGCTTCGCCTCGTTGGTCCAGAAGTCGTTGATGGGCTCCGGTTCAGCAGCCACTGGCTTTGGCGGCGGAGAAGGCTGTTTCTCAACCTCCTTCGTCGGCCGTTTCGGTAGAGCCGGACGCTCCTCATCTTCGCCCAACAAGCTCGGGGGATCTTGAGGCAACTTGGGGACAGTGATCAGACTCGTGAGATAACGCAGGTTGGAACATTCATAGTAGAATCGGACTAGCCGATAGTGCTGAGCGTCGTATCGACCACGAAGTGGCTCGAGTGCCTCGTTATCTCCCGTAGCTACGAGTAAAAAAGCAGGTCAGTATTCAAAAGGCATCGTGCACCGAGGACCAGAGGATCCTTACTAGTATGCATAGCCCTTAGCATGCTGGTGATAAACTTGTAAATGCCATAGCTTTCCTGCACAAGAGGAACCAATGCGGAGATTCTACACTCGTTATTGGTTCCCGACTGGAAGTGGGAGAAGATAAGCTTCTGGAACGTGTCAATCTGATCCTGTAGAGTCATGAGATCGGTAATGGTCTCGTATCTGGAACAGTCGTCAGTGGGGGTCATCGCCGGTAGACGCTGAAGGGCATAGCTACCCTTCATTCGGATCATTGATCGTCTTCAAACTGATGTACTCCTCGTATTCAAACAGCCCTTGACGGAAAAGGTCAGTATTCTTATAATAAGCAAGCCTCCTGCCTCCCTTACCGTTGAACTCCGGATGATTCCGATGAAACGCCAACTTCGACTCGAGGAAGAAGACATATTCACGAATAAGTGGGCCGTATCCTAATGACGCACACACACACACACAAATTAACCAAGTGCTCTCCTGAAGCGGAACCGTACCTGCCGCATACCTCTAATCCCATCCCCTCCAACACCCCTCATCAAGCTATCAATCCAATTGACATGCTGTTGCGCTTCCCTCACAACGACCGGGTGACCTTCTTGTAGAACTTTGTGTATCGTAATCAAGGCCTTGAATGTCTGGACTTCATCGGCAAGCACAGGTTGACTACACGGAACCGGAGCGCAACAAAGTCAGTCATCGTATCCGCAACATAGCCACGCATTTTTAAGCCATCACGCACACTTTCATGCCAGCCCAGAAGGCGGCAGATGACTTGTGGTCCCACGTATAGACGATACAGCTGCGGACATGTTTCCCTGGCGAACAAAGATCAGTGGCGAGCTCATATCAGGGGAAGCCGAGGGCGATGCGCGAAAGCATCCCAGCGGGTGATCTGCATACGTTTCGGGGCGGTTTCCTCTGCCAATTGCGAATTTCAGATCAGTCATACGAAACATTGGAAGAGTAAGCATGCGGTATACTCTCGGGCACAACATACCGATACTTGTGGCTTTCCGAATATTGATCGCGAGATCAGCCTCCGTGCTACATGGGATGTATTAGCCGATCCGTTTCTTTATCTCCGCTAGCTCGATTCGCAAGACAAATCGGACAAGCTACTCACCGACTCATCTTGAAGGCGTGCGATTTCACGATTTCGCGGGGATCAGGGGAGCAGAAGACGATCGTAGATGCGGCGGGAGCCGGTGGGCCCGTGACAGCGAGTGTGGATGACAAGCAACACTTGCGATAACTAGGAAAGGCAGAACACTTGAGGAGCAAGAAAAAAGAATGGTAAAAGCCCAAGGAAAAAAAGAGAGATATAGAAAATGACTGTGAGGGGGTAGCGATCGAGATGGCAGTGGCAGAGTTCAATGACGTTTTGGGCGTCTATCGGGAAAGCTGGCGCCTGCAGTTCGGCCATCGCAAGTCTTGGCAACGCGTCGTCCTCCTCCTCCTGATAAAGTATCTTCTTACGTAGAGCATGAAGTCCAAGATGATGCTTAAATACCTGAAACTTTTGTCTAGCGATAGATCTGAATGCGAATCAATCCGAGGATCCAGGTGACCGCTGTAAGCTCGATGTACTCTCTCACTACTTCGAGAGTGTTGGACTACCAACTTCGGCTCCCACTTTAATACAGTGCTAGTACTCCGTAGAATGAGCTGGCAATAGGTTCATCTATCCAATGATGAGAACAATACAAAAGGACTACATTATACTGTGGCTAGTCCTCCAATAAACCCATCTGCACCAAGAACGCCGGCTTGCTCACAAGCATACAGTGGCTCTGCGCCGCAGAACCGTCCAGATGAAACATGTATAAGTGATATCGAGACTGGAGGTTCCTTCCCTTCGTCGGGTTTCTCAACCGAACTGATACAATTCTTACTAAGGTACGATTCCATCTGTTGCCGATAATATTTCTATGCCGTGCCTTGTGATATCGGGCATTCCTTGAGCAATGGAGTCGTGCTCCCGCGATTTTTGCTCCGCATCATCCTCCCAGGGACGGCTTGCAACCACATCGTTCGATTTGGAACGGGAGAGATCCCGAGTATTTTCCTGTATCGCACTCGGCTGTATGATATCTATGTCAGAAGCGGAATCAGGCGCCGGGCTATTGGGCGTCGAGTCGTACGGCGCCTCAACCACGAGCAATTCGTCGGGGCTGCTTTCGTCACCCTCCGGTCTCGTAAGAGGCTTCCGTTTTGGCAAGGGTGGCTTTGGGACAGGCCTCTTCGCGTCATCTTTGGAACGCTCGGGGACTGGCGGTGGTACAGGCTTCCGTCGGGGAATAGGGTTACTCTTGATGCCGAACTTATCGGGGCGCGGTAATGGGGTGCCTGGAGGAGGAAGAGGATGACCACGTCCGATCGGCTCGTCGGGAGTGCCTGCAGGCCGAGAGGGTTCCTGGCCATTGGAATCTCCCTTTCCAAACACACTCCAGCTCCATTTCTTTGCTGCGGCGGTCGCTGTACCCAGCGAGATTGAGATTTTTGGCTTCTCTTCGGGAACAGTCGAAGATGTGGCTGATCTGGTCATGGTCTCTAGAGTTTCCAACGTGCTTCGTCTGCGCGATCTCTCGTTATTGATGGACGTCTTGGAACTACCATTACCACTTCGGAGACTGGTTGACGATTCACTGGCCAAGTGAGCAGATGTAGGGCGCGCTGGGGAGCGGCTGGCGAGCTCGCCAATACTCTCAATAGACTCCGTAAATGATGACCCTCGACTGGGGGTTAGCTTTTCTGGGCTCATGTGGCTGATTGTGGGCGGCGATCCGTTCGGCGTCTTATTCGGCGAGCTAGGAGGCGAACGGCTGGAAATCTCAATCATGGCACTGGCAGCACTGCTCTTCTCTTCGCCCTTGAAATCACTCGTAACTTTTTCGATCTTGATATTGTCAGCGGTGACGACAGGATCGGCAACATTAGAAAAAGTTTGAGATCGAATAGCGCGCGGCAGAGATGGACCGCTTGCTTTGTCAACGGCAGATGATATGCTCGTTTCGGAGTCTGTTGTGACCGACTTGGAGCTTTTGCGGGATTTCAGCGATCCGGAAGTGGTTTCCGAAAGCACCGGCATGCTCATTGTGCGATCGTCCTTCGCCTTCAGAGCCTCGATTGATTCCTTTAGAGTCGGAGTCTGTGGCTGACTGATTGACTCGTCAGGAATCTCGGCCTTTGAACCTTGTCCTGGGATCTCGCGTTGCCAGATGCCGCCACGGTAAGGCTGCGAAGCAGTGTCCAGGAAGGGAATATCGTCCCAGTAGGGCTGAACAACACTCTCCGCGACAACTTCGCGAATTCTACTCTCGATAGTTCGCAAAATGATGCCGTAAGTGATCTGCTTCGAGCTGACAATCGGTTCGATGTCCATAAGCATGTTTGGCATTGTTTCGAAAGAAACCCACACTCTGTTACTGGGCGGAGGTTTGAACCGAATCAACATATGGCCTTCTAGCTTCTTGAGAACTACAGCGAGCACAATGTCAACTTCTCGTGCCTTGAAACGAGGGCCCAAGTCAATGCGAACAGTGGCCGAGATCTCCAGGCGAAAGTTGCCGGTATATTGGATATCAGTCTCCACGCAGCAGTTTCCATCGACCGTCAGGTCCTTGAGCCTTGGGTTGGTGATAAAAGGGGCGCCTTCACCCATGTCAATTCGCTGCAAACAGATTTTGCTGATGAAGTTCGGCTTGTTGACCCGGGAGATCTTCTTCGTGATCTTCTGCCGAATGAACTCTTCCATCTCCGGTGTCTTGTATAAAGCCAAGAACAGTCTGCCGAGTACAGCATTGATCCATCGCGTCTGCAGCTGCTCCTCGGAAGAATGCAGGCGTTGGACTAGGGTGACAATATGCTTGACGTCAAACTGCTGGTGCTTGGGCGGACAATTTGGAAAGTCGCCCATTCTGGTCTGGTTTTGGAGCATAGCGAAGTAAAAGTCCTCCTTTTCTGATAAGTTATCGGAAAAGAGGAAGAACGGAGGGGTCGGCCCTCCCAGGTCACCAAGAGAGTCCAAACGCCTCGAAAGACAAATGGCATTCCTTTTCAGCCACAATTCGCCCTCCACGATTTCTCCTTCACCACCGTGAATGCTCACATCATGGTGGGCGAGCGAAATGACATATCGGACTTCCACCTGGTTGGCATCGTCATAGAGCATCAAATGGCCATGTCTGTCCGGTGATGTGGTTAGCATTGGGGAATGCAAAAGCGATGGCACTGATCGACGCATACCGCAGAACAATGTAAAACACATTCCGGGCCCTTTTCCCGTTCTTCCCAGTGTTTTTCGCAGGCTCAATCGTCGGCGTTTGCTTCCTGTCAAACAGACTCCGGTACATAGTTTGGTAGACGCTGGGGCTCTCGGCGGCGATCACCTCACCCGCCGGGGTGGTTCTCTCGGGAGGCTTGCCATTGACTCCACCAGGGACATACTCGCGACAGACAGCAAAATATCCGGCAGCAACATCGGACTCGTGAGTCCGATGGAACCTTTCTGCTAGCTCATCTGTGCCAGATTTCAGACTGAACTGATCATCGGTCGGTCGCTGGATGCTATCGGGAGATGGTTCGTCTGGGTGATTGGAGGGCGGGGAAGCGCGCGGAAGCGTAAGATACGCATGAAGAAGAACCAGCGACAGGACCAGCGGGATGAAGGTGAGTCCGCCGATTAAGTATGCGAAAAGAAAACTACCGAACGAACCCATCGGGACCAAGTCAATCAAAGATGCAGCAGAAAAGGCTCCATCGTCGTCGGTATCACTGTTGTGACCATGTGAGGGGAGTAGAGCCAACGGCCAGATAGCAGAAAGAGCACACTATTTTCGCAGCAGGTGATACAGGATGGGAAGGAGAGAGGAAAGGAATGAGGAACTCAGGGGGTAGATAGAGATCAAAGAAGAAGAAGAAGAAGAAAAAGGATATCAGGGACGAGAGCAGGATAGGACCAGGCACACTCGCGACCAATACAACAATGTATCGCTGTATCTCTGTCTCACGTGGAACCGACAGTCGAGCTAGGTACTTAGGTAGTTAGGTACGGAGTAGATTCAAGAGTAATGGACGACACCACCGACGGTATCACGCCAGGATGATTGATATCTACTCCCTGCTCGGTCTTCAACCCCTAGTTCATGTGTATATGGTATGCAAGTGAATGTAGTGAAATTAGGTACTCCTCGATTCTTCTCCCGTACTCCGTACCTTCCGCTTGAGACGGGATCCCTAGGCAGGTATCGACCTATGACGGCACCTGACGATACTTGTCCCAACTGGGTTTAGTGTGGCTTGCGGGCCCTATGACTATGTATGAGGAACTCCAGAAATCATCATCAGTAGTCAGCTGGATCATCATTTCTCCGAACGATCGTCTGATGGAACATTAATTGAGATCCATCCAATGAGTATTAGAAGCCTGAGAGCATCAACCTGAAACCATTTTGAAGCAGCTGTTGAAACGGAGGCGAGTAGACTTATCATTTAAGGATGAGCAACTTATTGGCATGCTGTCTATCTATCTATCTATCTATCCATCTATCTATCTATCCAATACTACGAATTTTTGTGAAGTACCTCCCATATGCTACGGAGCACGGAGCACGGAGCACTGGGGCTATCGCCGAATGCCCTCAGGATGTGGTCAGGATGACCTACTTAGGTAGTCACTCAAGGTCAGATATCTAGCCCTCGATCATCGTAGCATCATCGCATGTTATAAATCTACTTGTCTTACTCTTAATCGGAATGAAATCAGAAGAATAATATACAGCATTTGATAATCTAACAAAAGCAAGATGTCTATGTTCCCACAAGAATCACATGAAGAAACATTGGATTCATTGGCAATCACACTTTATGTCTTCATGGCTCCGTCGTCGTATGTATGTAGCCTTTCTTTTCGCCGTCAACCAGATGCGGAAACAGAAGGGAAGGCGTAAATTGGTAAGAGGGGACAGAAAGACGCAAATTCTAGCAATCATAGGAGAAGGTTAATAATACATAGGTAGTGGAAGGATAATGTCACAGTCGGTCGTCCTTCGCGAGTGATGGCTGTACACCTTGGATCAATCTGTGGTTGGATGTAGGAGAGTGGATGAGATTGGGGGAATCTGTAGACCACTTAGTCCTAAGCTCCAGCTAATATACCGTCCTCCTGACGGACTTCTGACCCAATCTTTTGAGCAATTCACTTCCTCCGATTCATGGTTTTCTCGCACATCTGAACCAGACCACTCTTCGCTTCGCTGTCAGGGAAATCGCTGATGGCAGCAACGGCCTTGTCGGCGTATTCTTGGGCCAGAAGGCGGGTTTGTTCGACACCATCGCTCTTGTACACAATTTCACGGGCCTGGCAAGTGACTGTCAGCTTCTGATCATATCACATTGTGCGAGACGAAACATTTTCCAATGTTAGAGATCCCCACTCACTCTTTGTACGTCTCCTTCCCGGCTAAACTTGCGGCCCACCAGAGGACCCAGTTCAGGGTTTTGTTTCCAAGCGAAAAGCAGCGGAGCAGTGGCAAGTCCCAGTTCCAGATCTGCGCCAGCAGGCTTGCCCAACTCGACCCCGCTCACTGTATAATCCAGCAGATCATCCACCAGCTGAAATGCCAGGCCCAGATTGCGTCCATAGGAATAAGCAGCTTCAACCACCTCGGGCGTACTACCGCCAAGCAAAGCAGCTGCGCGGCACGATTTGCTGATCAGACTGGCAGTCTTCAGGTAGGTCTTCTGCAAGTAGTACGAGATAGTTTCGTCGGTGAAAACGGGATGTTTCTCGTCCGCGACAGTGTTCTTCAACTGCATGAACTCGCCCTCAACCAGGTTGGCAATCACAGTGGCAAGGAGCTCGGTGACTTCGGGGTCCCTCAAGCGCGCCAGAGCAACGGAGGCTCGGCCTAGCAGGAAATCTCCGGCCAGAACAGCCATTTTGTTTCCAAATTGAAGGTTCGCAGAGTTGGACGACCGGCGGGTGACGGCATTATCTATCACGTCGTCGTGGAGAAGCGATGCAGTGTGGATTAATTCGGTAATTTCAGCGAGTCGTCGCTGGGATGGCAGGATGTTCTCGTCGCCCGCAAAGTCGTATTGGGCCTCGGCTGACGTTGAAACAAGAGGGTTTGTATCCGGGTTCGTGTCGGCGAGTATAGAGGGTGAGGAAATGGGATCATCGACCGAAATTGGGGCCACATCGTTCGAACGACTCTTCCGCGGAGTCAAGGCAGTCGCTTGAGACATGAGCAGCACCAAAAGGGGCCGCATGTGTTTACCCTCGCTCCGGGTATAGTATTTGGCCACTTTATCGAGAGTAGGATGCCCCGAGCCGAGCAATTGACGGATATTTTTCGTTAGGAACTTGAGCTCTTTTCCTACAATCCTCAATGGATCCACCGAGATCCCCGGAGGAGCCTTTGGTAGACCTTTGAAGATGGTCTGGGCTGCAGAAACGGCAGCACCGAAGGGAGAGACATCTTTCCGCCGGGTCGGGTGATACTTTCGAATGGGAGTCTGGATTTGATTGGAAAGAAGGTCATCGCGGAGGCATTGCCAGCATATCGAGGTGGAAGGTGTTATTCGAGATGAGAGCACAAGGCCAGAGGCCGAAACCGTTCGAGCTCTCATGCTCAGGCGAGAGTAACTATGATTAGCTTCAGACAAGTCGCAATCTAAGAGGAGAAATAAGCTAACTCCGTGACAATAAAGTACAAGAGATGTTGAGAGACCTCACGAGTCAAGGCGATGTGTGCCTTTCTCTTTGCGGAGTGCATAAAGTTTCCGCAGTTATCAGAAAACGACTGAAGATTTCGAGCTCACGGAGCTGCGCTCGGGCCGGGACGGGAGACGACAGCTTCCAAGGCCACATCGAGGACACGGCGTCATCACATAAATCACTACGCTCGGACCGTTTCGAGGTCGTGTGAAAAGACATTGGACTAGTACGCCAAGTTTTTTTTAAATGAGAAAGGCAGCTCGGAAAGATAGGTACTTCTACAAGAAACGCGGTGAGAATTTTCTTGTCTAAGATGTAGATGGAAATTACAGAGAGATCCTTTAAGACTCCCACCAAGGTAAGATGACCAGCTGAACGGACGACATCTACAAGACAAAATCCGTCCTGATAACTGTGAAACGAAATAAATCTGTGAATACAGGAAATATGGAGAATCGCACTCGCAAGTTTTGACTCAGCAGATTTCCCCCTCATACACACCTGGGCAGTGGAAATGGCGTAGCATGACTCGGAAACTGCAAAGCCCAGCCTGTGAACCATTTTGAATTGGCAGAGGCAGAGCTAAGCAGAGTCGCGTAGGCGGGTCTTTTGGGTCACTAGATGGCGTCAAAATCACCGCCAGCGTCTTCGTCATCCATGTCCCCGTCCTGAATCTCCTTGGCGAGCTCTCGTTCCCGTTCCCGAGCCTCCTGTGCACTCTTGAGCTCGAGGCGATGCTGATTCATGGGAAATCTCATAGCCTACATAGAAGGAGAGGCAGACGTTAGCGATGAATTCAAAAGACCGTCCGGGAGAAAAAAAAAAAATTAGTTGAAAACACTTGAAAGCCTACCTTGACGCTCTCATCATGCAGAGCCAAGCAAGCCCGAATCCGTTCGTGGAACACCTCTCCAGGCTCGCGAGTGGCATAGATATCGCCGACTTCCTTGCTCTTCATGTATCCGTGCTCATGATCCAAGGTGGCCTCAATCACACCGTCGCGGATCGCCTTGGCCACGATATATTCCGCCGACTCCTCACTGTCCAAGCCCAAACGCAGGCAAATGTCCCGAAGCGAGATGCGAGAGTAGGACAACGACATCATCCGGATACCAGTTTTGATGACATTTTGCCTCAAACGTAGGATCAGGGTGTAGGTACCATCTTTCCGGAACGTTGCACTGTGCGTATTTACGATGTTCAAGAAACCATCCAAATCTCCAACGCTCACGGCTTGAACAAGTAAGAAGTAAGGGTGCAAAGCGCGCTCAAGTGCAGGCTGGCGGAAGATTGCACGGTCGGGAATATCGCCCATCAATAGCTCAACAACTACAAGCAGCTTGTGAGAAGCCTGATAGAAACCACGAGCACTGTGACTCGAAGGAGACTTGCGAGTAGCACCAATCAGGTGCCCGTGAGCATCCGTGTACTGTAACTGAATCGCACGAATACGGCCCAGATAATACAGGTACCGAGCAATCTGATTGTTCGATGCAGAAGGCGGAAAGCGGTTGTGAGAGATGAGCAAGTCAGCCTGCGAGATATGAGACGTAGACAAGTAATTCCGCAGAAGAAGGGTCATCACGGTAGCCTGAGTATCGACGTCTTTCCGGAGAACGGCTGTCCTAAGAGCAGCGAGCAAGGGCTGGCGGATGGAGGTAACCGCCGCAGCAGGAGATGGGGGAAGGGGAGCAACCTGCTCGAAGAAGAGGGAGTAGTAAAAGTACACGCGAGCAGCAAGAGAGTCTAGCGTGCGACGATTGAGTGTCCGCAGACGCTCAATCAAAGCAGTCGAGAACTTCGCACCCCTTTGAATGTCCTTCTTGTCGTAGAGGTGAATCTGAACCAGGATGGATAGATAGGTATCAACCTCTGGCAGTATCTCTTTGGGAGCAGACTTGTTCTTCTCCGAATCGACCTCCATCTTCGAACTCGCAAGGGCGCTTTCGTAAGCGCCAGATTGATCAATAGCTTCCAGCAAGAAAGCAGCGGTAAGACTTGACGGTGGGTAGGTCTCAACGATCACTTCTGCCAGCACATCAGCAGTGATGTGCTTGCGCATTGAGGATATCGACCTGAGAACGCGAAGTGTAAATCTGGGGTCGAAGTGGGCTACAGCTCGCTCAAGGAGTGTGAAGCTGGTCTTGATATCTAGAGCCAAGTGATAACAGTTGATTATTAGGCATGCATCCATCGAGACAGCGGGCGGGAAAGAAACGAACCTTGAATGGCCTTGACTTTGGGATCGACCTCCGACTCGGGCTTTTGAGACTCAGTCTCTGCGGCCTCCATGACATCATCTTCCTCTTGGTCCTGTCCTTTCTCTCCGGATAACCTCGAACCCTTGGAAGGGGGCACTACAACAGTCATCTTCTTGTCACCTTTCCGATCCTTACTGGTGTTGAATGAGGATGTAGGCCCACCTGCCGTATCCTCTCCCATCTCAATATCTTCAGAACCGTTCACGCCGTTGGTATGCGGCTGATCACGCTGCTCGCCCATACCGGAGTTAGATACGTTATTAGACGAAGCAGCCGGTGTGGGAGATTTGGCCTTGCTGGCGGCGGCGCGGTTTGGCGCGGCCTTGTCCTTGTTGGAACTTGAGCTCTGCGAGTTTGAACGCGCTTTTTCACCGTTAGCGGATGAAGAAGTATCTGACTTGCTGTTCGATCGCAAAGAACGTCTCTCGGCCGGCATCTTTCTTCAACTTGAAGCTCAGCTAAGCAAGAAGCGATTGCAGGACCGGGGAACGGAGGAAGGGGAATCAGAGGACCAATGTCCGAGGACAAGAAGAAGGCCTGCAAAAAAATTACAAAAAACGGACAAGAGCAGGGATTGGAGAAGCAAGAAAAATGAAGAGAAGATGGGAGATGGTGCCTCTGGTGAGTAGGGGAAGATGGTTGATGAAGTGGTGATGTGATGTCAAGGTTGACTTGGAGATGGATGGACAGCGAGAGAACCAGCACAGGGCTTAGTCAGTTGGGGGAAGCTTACTGGGAGCGGCAGCTGATGTGATGGAGCTGGTCAGCTGCAGAATAATACTCGCCTCACTATTATTATTGTGACTGGAAGAGGGATTAGAAAAGAAGAAAAACGGGATCGTCCATCTAAGATGTGTGAGCTGGTCTACCAGCAGCACAGTCTAGATATCCTCTCTCTTCTTCCTAGGAACCTTAGCTGAACTGTTCTGTTTGTCGGCCACAAAGCGATTGCGTTGCCACCTTAAAGTGTCGCCTGAGGCCTCAGGCAGCAAGCAGCTTCGCGGCAGCTCCTTCTTGGCGGTCGGAAATGGGGGAGAGATTAACGCGACCCGATGTTTACATACAGAGTATCTAGTATCTAGTCTCCAGAGTACCCAGTACTATCCTTTGATTTAATGAGGCTCCTGGAGCCCTGATCTGGATACTATCCTGGCAATCATCATCGTTCATAAAACTCAATAGTCTGCAGTTTCAATGATGTCTTTACTCGAAAGCCATCTGGAGCAAATCCAGCTCTCCTCAAATGCGATCGCCGAATTACCGTGAGTGTATAACCTTGTTTTTCTTCGTGACTGTATGCTGATCGAGCTTTTTTTCACAGTTTTCCCCCACCTCGCATATTCACGAATGCTCTTTTGGGCCCTCATGATATTACTGCGTTGATCCGCGATACCGAAGCTCATGAACGAGCCCTTTTCCAGACTGACCCGTCTGCCAAGTCCCAACGGCGAGCAACGAGGCGGGGAACAATGTTTCAACCCGAAGGGGAGGGAGAGTCCATGGCGAGTCGGATCTATGCTGCGCGGAATAACAGAAATCAGTCGGCAGTCGCAAGAGTCCTTGGTTCTGACATGATGGAGGAGATTAAGCGCTCCGCTGGAGCTTCAACCAGGGGAACGCGAAGTGACGTTAATATTGACGTCCTTCTTCGCGGGGCAGAGATTCTCTGCAATGTCTAGTAAGCAAGCTTCTCTTATCAATTACTTTTCATTTGCTGGTGCTGATTTCGTGAAGTCCCGTTGCTGGTGCCCAGGAGAAAATTGCGAATCTGCGTTATCGTCACGAGTTGATTAGTGATTCTATTGCTCACCTAGAAGACCGAGTGGCGAGGAACACTGCAGAATTGGAGCAGATGAGCCACTCCTACGGGGATGAGTACGACGACTATGACAATGCCACGACCACATCGCCAGAAGTCACAAACGCCGATATTGAGCGAGAGATGGAGGAGATCAGAGAGTTGGAAAAGCGGAAACGAGCTCTAGAAGCGCGTGTAAGCGGCATGGAAAGGGATTTAGGTGGCTTGATGAGCTGAACCATCCGGCCGCCCACTTTTTCATACCTCGTATTCAGCGTCATGTATGTGAGCATGAGCCTCTTTTCACCTCGACAAGCTTCCGCCATGAGCGCTGAATCCCTTTCAATCATTGATCGGCAATTTCTTCTTGCCCTTGCCAAGCACGTCTCTTGGGTGAATCCGATCAGCGGAGTGAGCAGACAACTCTATGTGCAGCACTTGAATGTCCGTGCTCAAGCAGGATGTCGAAGCAAGTTTCTTGGGCCTTGCATCGAACCAGCTCGGCCAGCTTGGGCCGTCTGTGCTTGCGAGATGGGCCCGAACGCTGTCGGTTTCATCCTCTGAACTGCCTGCAGACAGTACGTTAGCTCCCGGAACGAGAGCCATGTTGAGCGGAGACACAGCAGGTCGAATGTTCAAGCATATGACGACTTGCTCTCGATTGATCTCGATTCTTTGCTCAACAATGCGTCTTGGGTTGGGTTTACGAATGGAGTATGGAGTCATGGGTGCAGCAGTTTTTTCCTGAGCAATCTCACTGAGAAGAAAGTGAAGGAATTCCGGCGTGACTCTCACTTGTCATTTTACCTGGAAGATCATCAAGCCTTCTTTGGTACTGAAAATCAGCGCACCTTTATCTCAATATTCGCTCATCGAATTTGACCAGATTATCGATGGTTCTATTGAAATGATCTGTCTGATCACAATGGTCCTACGTGTAAACGACCTTTACCATCCGCGCTGTAGGGAGGTCAACATGTCTGTTCAGAAACCTCAGTTGTACTTGCTCTTACATATGTAGTGTCTTTGGTGATATCCGTCTAACAAATTCACTTTGGGCGTTCCGATGCACTATCACAGAGAAAAGCTTCAGAGTCAAGTATGCCTAGAATCCTAGTATGATCCTAGTCTCAAAATCAACTAGAGAATAAGCTCAATTAGATTGTTGGAAGCAATGTGCAATCCATGGGGGAGCCGAATTAATAGCCAACTAAATCTTCCCCGGCGATCAAGTCAAAAAATATAGAGTAATGACCGTCATTGAGGGCACTACAGTGTTCGTCGCATTTAAGGCTGCGATGCCAAGCCTGAGGCTCCCACGATCCCTTCCGCTTCCTCTCCGCCATCATTCATCGGATATCTGGACTGACCAGGCTCTATCAGTCCCTTTTCTCACGCTAGAAGACTGCGTCTGGAGTCTGATATTCACTCATTTGGCTTATTTTGATCCGTCTGCCAGCATTACAAGGTTTTACCACTATATCTACTCTCACGATTACGACGCAGTCCAGGTCGAATACATCATTTTTGACCTCGAAGTAACCTCGTCGCACACGCCTCCTCCTTTGTTCCGTTCAGCGTACCTCCCTCTCGAACCTTGGTGTATTGGATCAAGCTCCGACTCACTGATTAGACTATAACGAGATCTCTCGCTCCCGACCAATATGGATGGCTCTCAGGCCCCGGCGAATCAGCCTATGGTTCAGCCTCAACAGCACTCGAACCTAATCCGGACAGACCAGGTCCAGAAATTGCCTCATCTCAATGAGCAGCAAAAGGCTCAGCACACCCAGTTGGTGCGCAATTTCTGGGAGATACTCAACAGCCGGGACCCGCAGAGTGCGGAATACCAGAACGCCCACATGAGACTCACACAGCTCTCTCAGAATTTGATGAAAGGCATGCGAATATTTCAACAAAACCGCCAGCAAGCACTGCAGCAGCACCAACAGGCTCAGGCGGCAGCTGCAGCCGCTCAGGGACAGCCAGTTCAACGTACGCAGTCCGCCAACCCACAGTCTTTCGCGCAGCTTCTCCCACAAATCCAACAGAAAGTGAACGGTCTTCACTTCTTCCTCCCTCCCAATATCAGCAAAGAACAAGTACAAACATGGCTGCCGGAAGCAAGACTACGCTACGGTATTGCGCTCCAGAAGCAGGAGATCGGACGCGTACGTATCGCGGAACTGCGCCAACAGTTCGCGCAGCGACAGGCCGCTGGGAACATGAGCCAGGAAGAGGTGCAGGAGTTCAAAAACCGGCAGCTTGCGGCGGAAAAGCTCTACCGAGAAGGCAGCGACTTCTTGAACAAATTCAAGGAGCAACAGGAATCCTTCAAGGCGCAGCAGCAGAACCAGCAGCTCAATAGAGCAGGGCTACCGAACGCCACGCCCGGTCAACCTCAACAGCCACAGGGGACTGCAGAGCAGGCTGCTGCTGCGACTGCGACTGCGACTGCGCCTGCCGCCACACCTGCGCCGACTGCCGGTGACAAGCGTCCAGTGAATGTCCCCGGACCCATGCACCCTGGGCAAGCCCCTACTCCGGCACCTCACACCATTAACTCTGCAGTAACTGCCGCGCGAAATCAAGCCGGACAAGGTCCGGCCATGTCTCCCTCCACGACTCAGCCGGGCCAAGCACCCGTCGCACAAGCTGCAGGCACCGCACCTGCCGCTCCCGCCGCGCCTCCCCAGCAACCACAACAGCAGCAACCGCAACCTCTTTCACAACAGGGGACTCCAGGCGCGCAGATCACATTTACTCAAACACCTAATCCGGACGGTTCGACGCCTACCCCTACAGCTCCGCAGCCAGTCAACGTACAAGGCCCGCCACGTCCTTTGTCCCATCAAGCTGCGATGGCGCAAGCTGCTCAGAATTATACCAACAACGCCGCGAACAATAACATGGCTCAGCAGAATGTATCGCAAGCAGCTGCCAATCCTCATGCACATCCTCAAGGGTATATTCCCAATCGCGCGTCGGAAAATTCAGCGCGCAACATCAACATGGCCATTCCAAAGAACCTTAACGTTCCTCCCCCGGAGCCGGTCAGCATGGCACCAGCCCGGCCCACTCTGTCCGGCGGCCCCAGTCATGGCGCCATGGGTATGATGGGCCAACCAGCCATCCAGAAGCATCCCGGCTACGTTCTTGAAGGCGAAGGCCAGCGTGTCTTGAGCAAGAAGATGCTTGACATCCTGGTGCGCCAGGTCACCGGAGGAGGAGAGGGTGAAGGACTTACGCCAGACGCTGAAGAGGTAAGTTTTATTCTGCACATTAGCGCTGCTTCCCACTTCGCAGAGTGTTTAGAGTATGCCCTTTGCTAAATCATCACGATAGTTCATCCTGCAAATGGCCGACGATTTCGTTGATGACGTGGTCACCGCTGCTTGCCGTCTCGCCAAATTGCGCCCATCCTCTACACTTGAAATCCGCGATATCCAACTCGTCCTGGAAAGAAACTACAACATGCGCATCTCCGGCTTCTCCACCGACGATCTCCGCACCGTGAAGAAACCGCAGCCCACACAAGGCTGGACTCAAAAGATGTCAGCTGTTCAGGCCGCCAAAGTCACTCAAGGAAAGGCCGAGTGATACACTTTTCGCTCTCGCTTCTCCCTCCCTCCTTCATCCTCCTGACTAAATGAGGGAAGTCGCCAACGATGGAGCTACACAGGGCGGAGCAGCTTCCCGTCGCTCTTCTTCAGGCTTTCCTCTCCTCCTCTGAGATACGGAGGACTTGATCTCCCCTGAAGAAACACTCAAACCTGAAACATTCTACATTATGCGTACTCTGGCTGGCGTCATCGGTGGGGTGGGGCCTCTGCTTTTTTTTTTTCTTTCTCTTTTTCTGGTGGATTTTTGCCCTTGCTTGTCTTTCCTGCAGGCAAACTACGAATTCGCTCAACTACTGGAACGTTTGCATTTATCCCGGCGTCATGACATGATTTGAGAAGGCCTGTTATTCTGATATACCACCTTAGGCTAGGCACAGGTTCAAGGAATGGGTAAAAAATTGATTCATCGATTTCATGTTTGAAATTGCGCTTTTGAGGAATTCATGGGTATTTCTGGACGCTTCCTTCTTGGAGTACCTGTAAAGTCTTCATGTATCTTCAAGGAAAATGCATTGCAGGCCTCGCTGGAGTCAAAGTAGGGGAGGTATTGAGGTTGTAGGTAGCCAGCATACGATGTCTCCAGAGGGAGAATGGAAGGAGCCGTGGATGCCTAAAAAAGGTGGAAGCTACCTGATCAATCGGGCCGTGTTCATTATTATGGAAGGTAGACGCCATCCATGGATGTCATGTCGGAAGCAGAAACGTACTGGTATCAATTTTCTACTTGGTATAAAGTCTTCTATCGGTCTTCTAGGGCGTGGAAAATGCAACACTAACTGACAGTGCGAGAATAAAGACACAATGATGACGCGCTCAAACCTGCTCACACAAAGTAAAACACAGCTTCTCCCAACCGACTACTGAGTCCAAAACAGAAAACCAAGGACAACTGAGAATCACCAGAATAACGTACAGAAAGGGAAATAGAAGGCGACGTGGTTCCAAGAGTGTCTAGAATGGCAGAGAATTGCGAGTCCGGCGATGGGCGACTCGGATATGGAGTAATGCGGAGCAGAGGGGACAAAGAAGCAATATACAAAATATGTGTGATAAAGGGAAATATGGGGGGTCGAAAAGAATAGAAAAGAGTTATTCGAGGGACTGAGACTAAAGACAATCCATGTAGCTCTTCGCGTAGGAGATTGTCAGCTAGATGCGACTGGCTTGGAGTCGGCATCTACCAGAAGAGATTGAATAGACAGAAAGAGAAGCAAAATACATAAAAGGGAATGAAAAGATGGTATGAAAGTCTTTCAAGTGATGGTGCACATGATCAAAGAGAGCTTGTCATGTTGTATAAAGGAAGAATGAGAAGACGCACCAAAGATATGGGCTAGTTGCAAAAGAAGGAAAAGAGGGTTGGGGACAGCATTGATTGTCCCAAAATGATTGAGGGACAATGGAGGACCCCATGGTAATAAGGAAAATCATGTCAATCATGGTAACATGGACACTATCACAAAATCGATCTCCTCGGGGATTGGAGAGGAACCGAGAGATGGCGGGAGAAGATGCGTCGCACGAACTTGCAAGGAAAACGATCTATGGCGCCGAAGAAACAAAGCGTCATTGACTGCGAATGGGGATATCATGAGATAATCGACCGAAAACAGCACAGCAGATACAGAAATTGAGTCGAGGGTCGTATAATTGCGACGTCGGTCATCGGCTTGCTAAGGGTGATAATGTGCCGTTCGGGCCGCTATAAGAAACTCCTTTTCCTTTTGCACCGTCTTGTGAACTGCCCAGACTGGGCAAGGGTGGCAAATCCTTTTCTGTCAGCGACGGTCCTTGTCGGCTATGCTGACTGTGTCCACCAACGCTGCTCTGCTCACCAGCTTCGTCCACTATGGGCAGTGTCGAAGTCGGACCTGGTCCATTGGCATCGGCCGGGTCCCAGACAGTCGAAAGAGTTCGAGGATGCGTGCTCGAGACGTCCTTCGCGGCCTCCTTTTCCGCAGCCTGCATTGTTTGTTCGACAGATCCGGTTCGTTCACCTGATGCTTGGCCCTGGGCCCGAGCTTCCTTATGCCGTTCGGCTTCCTCCTTGGACATAGTAATGCCCTTGATGAATCTAACAAACCGGTCCCCATAGCTCTCAGGCGGAATTGGGGAGATCTGGCCGCGATCATGGGAAAGTCCTTTGAAAAAGTTTTCAAGTTTCTTCACAGTCCCATACTGTCGCGGTGTTAGTCATTGCTCAGGGCTCGATGGAAGACTGGGTGTTTTCGCGTTGCAGTATGCACTTACATGTGTCAGACAGTCAATAATGCCAAGGTAATAGATCTCATCTCCAGGCTGGCCGTTCTCGTGAGTAGCTCGGAACCCTCCGTCATCGGCATAGAAGACGTGATACTTTCGCTCATCTAGAATTTCTTCAGGCATCTTCGCAGCGGCTTTATCAAGTGGCACAGGACGTTCCTTTTTGATGAGCATCCGCAGCTCACGTGCCTTGCGTTCATTTTCCAGCTTGGAAGGAGTGCGCATCAGCATGTTCGGGCTCGCCTCTTCTTCACGGTCACCTCCGGGTTGAAACACTTGCAAGGTCTTGTCGCGAAGCTTTTCTTCATTGCCTCTCCCAAGGTCGTGAATACCCACCAGAAGAGAGTAATCCATTATCTTCAGTCTCTTCAAAAGCTCAACATCGCGTTCAAGCTGAGCGATGAAAAATTCCCGTTTCGAGGGCCCGCATTCCAGGTGACGGCCTCTGCGAAGCCAATTGAGATCCTTCAGAGTGGCCCGCGGATTCTTCTCAAGATCCTGCTCCCGCAGGTCCCGGCCGATTGTTGACCCCTTCAGGTCGAAGGTCTGGTGGATGTCGCGGTGGGGAGGAAAGAGGTTATTCATGACCACAAAGTGGATCTTGCGCCCGTATGCCATCTTCACCCGGTGAAGACCATAAAATTGTGATATCAGCGTGTTGGGGTTCTGCTCCACATGTTTGTAATATTCGGGAAGAATCTTTCGCAGCAGTTTGTGTTCGGAGTGGTGGATGGTCTTGATGATGTATTTGTAGTCCCTGGAGAAGTAGAAGAAGCTTCCGCTCTTCCCTGGCGAGCCCAGCTCGGAGAGGATATACTTGCTGGTCAGGGACATCAAATAGTCGGCCGGGTCAAGGCGGAACTTGGCTCGCAAATGCCGGAAAACCCACGGCGCATAGTCCTTAAATTTGAAGTCGTATTTCGCAGAGGGCGTCAACTCGTTGCCAGTACTGAAAGCAACGAAAATGTTAGCCAATCAACAAGTTCTTGGAAGGGGAATGGAAGGTGGCAGTCGTCATACATGTCGAAGGAGAATTTATGCTTGGCTTCAAAATCTGCGGGGGTCAACTCCCGGTCCATTTTTGCATTGATCCTTGACACGGTGAAGCGAATTCCGGTCAGCATATTGTACGCTGTCACCCAATTCACGTGGTTCTGGTCGACTTTTGTTCCAACGATGACGCGATCGTCATCGTCGTCATCTCGGCGTTTCCTCCTTGACGCTCTCCTATGTTTGATCGCTTCTGCCCAACGCGCTGCATCCTCGTCCGGATTCACCTCGTCGGGAACCGAGTCCGAATGGTTGGTTTTTGTAGCTCGTCGAACCAAGCTGAGTGACGTTCGGCGGATTCCCCCTGCTGTTGGAGATAGCCGACCACTGCTATAAGCCGTCTCGTCGGCTTGATCGCGGCTATTACGACGGCCGCTTGTAGCTCTAGGAACTTGTAACGTATGTCGGTGTCGGAGGCCTGATGCTGCCGGGTCTTGCGTGTGACTAGCGTCAGCGGCGGCTGAGGGGAGAGGCGGGGAAGAATAACGGTGGGGAGCTGCCGTCTGCGAGGGAGACAATCGATCGGGTTCGGACGCGAGTCGGCTGGTATCTTCGGGTTGCGAGGTCGAAAGGGTATTCCCGTTCGCGGTCACAGTCGAGTCCTGAGACATCAGTTCGTCAACGGACGGCTGGGGGCGATCTCCATTAACCAGCGACTTCCCGTTGGGGGTTCGGTGGCTCGGCGATATCCCATTGACCTGCTGCGCGCTGGAGATAGACCCTGCTGCTGAGCCAACGCCAGCGCTGGCTCCAGCATCAGAAGATTTTCGAGTAAAATCCTTGTCCATCGTCATAGAAAACCGGCCACTCTCCCTTGGATCACGGACCGATCCATTTCCTAACGAATGCATGCTGCCATCTTTCGAATGTGGTAAATCTCGTGTGTAGGAGCTAGCGCTTGATCGGGGCCCGTTCAGAGAATAGGCACTCCCATGCTTCAGATCTGAGGAATAGTGGCGATCAGTCGACTGGGAATCGAGGTGGGTCGTATCACCGTTGGGCCAGTTTGTCCATAAAAAGGTATTTCCCACGGAGCCTTTGTCGTGAGGTTTCCCTTGCGGTGAATCAAACGGGCGAGGGTGTGTGGCCGTAGCAGTAGCCGACTGATAAGGCCCGTCGTTGGAGAAAGATGGCATGGTGCGCTCTTTTCTCCTTTTTGTTGCGGCTCCCAAGGGGCAGAGAGGTCAAGTTCCAGGGGAAAAGGGAAAGAGGGGATGGGACTGTGACGTGAGGTCTGCGTGGGCCAACGAATCCGAGCGAGCAGACAGGGTACGTATTAAGTTGACGCTTTGAACCAATGGAACGACAAGTAGGGAAGCGACAGAAGGCGTATAAAGGGGAATGGATGTGACAGCCGACCGATTAAGCAACACCGGGGTATTGATTCAATGCGCGTAACGATCAACTAAATGCAAGGCAACAAGGAGAAGAGAGGGAGAGGGTGGTATTCTTCCCGAGACGAGCTGGAGCGGCCAGCCGGGGTAGGCGTGGCAGAAAGTTCAGCGACCGATAAGCATGTTCAGGACGGAAAAAAAGAGTTGAGACAGAGCGGACGACGCGGTCAGAGGCGGCGAATTACCGAGACGATGAAATTGGTTAAAAGTGCATGAAGATGAGGATCGGATTGGATTGAGAAGAGAGGATAGGTAGGCGGGATGGAGGAAG